TGATTCATAATTTTCTCTTCAAGATTAGAACAGTCCATACTATCTTGAACTCTCTTGACCTCCTCACCATTTAGAAGCTTGTAACTACACAGTATTTTCCCTCTTTTTGGTTTGTAGTTGTCCTCATTTGCCAGTTGATGTCTCTGGCTCCCTGTTTACAATTTTGTAAGCTTATTTTACTTTGGATATGTCCATAGCTGTGGTTTCTGGGTTATGTCATCTTGTGTATTAATGGTCGGTTGTTAATTTGCTATTTTTGGTTCTCTGTTCAATGAATGCACTTTAGTATCTCTTGTAAGGTTGGTCTGGTTTTAACAAATTCCCTTACTTTCTGCTTATCTGTAAATCTCCTAATTTTACCATCATATTTGAGGGACAATTTGTCAGGTATATAATTCTTGGTTGAAATTTTTCTCTTTCAGGGTTTTATATACACCATCCCATTGCCTTCTTGCTTGCATGGTTTCTGCTGAGAAATCAGAGTTTATTCTTACTGGTTGTCCTTTGTAAGTTATGGTTATATCTTGTTTTTCCCATGGTGCTTTCAGGATTCTTTCTTCGTCTTTGGTTTTGGTGAGTTTGATGATGATATGTCTTGGTGATTTTCTTTTGGGGTCTATCCTGTTTGAGGTTTGTTGGACTTCCTGAATGGATATATTCTCATCTTTCATCATATCGGGGAAGTTCTCCAATCAGTCTTGGACAATTTTCTCCATGGTTTTATTTTTCTCTTCCTGCTCTGGAATTCCAGTGCACATAGTTTATTCCTTTTGCTGGTATCTCACATGAACCTTAGGCTTTCTTCATTTTGTTTTGATCTTTTTTCTGATTGTTCTCTTTCCAGGTACAAATTCAAGTATTTGTCTTCAATGTAATTAATTCTGTCTTCCATTTAATCAATTCTACTCCTTTGTGCTTTCAATGTGTTATGTATTTCTGACAATTTAGTATTAATCTTCTGGATTTCTATTGGTAGATTTAGAATCATTTCTAATTTTTCATTTATTTTGTCAT